TCTGCGGTCTACACTCATCTCCAGGCCAGCGGTCACTCTTTCAAGGATGAAGATGTTCACATCCTGGACAGAGAGGAACGATGGTTTGAGAGAGGAGTAAAGGAGGCCATCTTTGTGAAAAGAAATTGTCCATCGTTAAACAGGGGTGGAGGCCTCCGGGTTCAACTGTCCCCCTCTTACAATGCTGTGATTGCTAGTATCACTCAGCCCTCTGTGAACAGTAAACAGCCATCAGTGTGCTAATGATCCATTGTTAGGCTGATGGTCCTTCTTGAGCATGTGATCAGCTGGTTTTGGTTGTCAGCAGCAAAACTGGTTGATCCACCCTGAGAAGGTGCTATTTAAGAGACTGAGCTGAATACAGCTCCTCAGACTGAGGAAGTCTCTCGGATGAAAGATGAAACGTTTCTACATATTTTTGTTGATTTGCTTTGTTTTTTTTTTGAATGTCCAGAGGACCAGATTTAACTTTTTTAGATTTTTCTACCTGGATTATTGAGCATGCATCAGGATACTCAACAGAATGTTTCTGAAGTGTATTTTTTATTTTAGTAAGGCAAACATCCCATACAATTACATGGGTAGGTGGGACTTAACAGTTGTACTGTATATGAGGCGCTCATTGTTTGTGGCTTCAACTTTCATCTTCCAGTCCAATTTCTAAAATATGATGATCTCGACATGACAACCAGTATTTTTCACCTTTACTCAATGGAACAAAAAGTTTATTTTTTTTCACAGCCATGTTTCTTGCACCTGTTGCATCTTCAGTTTCTGAAGGTCTAAAGTCTAATCGTTTTGAATAATGATCAGTTTTAAAATCAATATTTTTTTTATGTCTGAGAAGAATAAACCAAAATAGTCACGTTTGTCATTTTTAATATTAAATAAAAACAGTGACACTGGGGACATTCATAGTTGCAAAATTATATTTGCAGTAACATCAGATCTTGTGTTTGTTCACCAAATGTTACCAATGGAAACTAATTGCCACATAAAAAAAGTTTTATAAAGGCTGTTTTCAATGTAAAAGTAGCAAGAATACATCAATAAGAATGATCATTCCACTTATTGTATTGTTTTTGACAAGGCTCAACTTTTAAAACATTTTCAATTTTATTATTAAAAAACCCTCAACAATGTCATACTCCTGATTTTTAACACTCTTAGGCATACATCACATTATCCACATTTTTAAATTTCTTATTATGAAACAGCAATCCTACAACAATTTCTACTTATCCAAGACAACAGTCCTGTAATATTTAACAAAATATTCAGGTTTTTATTGGCCAGATTATTTTCACATTTGTTCAAACATTTAATCAAAACCCATCCCAATGAACAGTTGAAACCTCAAACCACTTGAGTTGCAACACGGTAAGCTAGCAAACAACCACCTGCATGTTATGCAAACTTTCAGTGCTTCAACAGGATTAAGTACTGTGAGTGGATTAGACCAAGAAATGATTGGCATAGTCCAAAATGGCTCAGGTTACTCCTTAAAAATCACAAGGCCATCTTTAGAGTTTGAAGGTTATAGGACAAATCTTCTGGGTTTTTCTGCTCTGATTGTTCAGTAACACCTACTGCTTCTGTGCTGATCTGTTCTTGAGTCAGCACTTTGCCAGTCTTTTATGGTTTTGTGCCATAAAAAACTTCTAGAACATAATGGGGGTATGCTATACAATTACAATGTTCATATATAAATATGCCCATATAAGCTTACTCATGAATGTCTTGACTGAATGTCATTTTTTACCAGACTTTCCTGCTTCACCAAGAACTGATACCTTGTTAATTTGGGCGATGTACAGGCTGACACAGCATCTTCGTTGTCTTTCGCTCAATTTGCACCAAGGTCAGCACAAAATTGACACAACTCAAAGAATCAGCATAGAACCCAGTTTTACTCTCAGTTAATACTTCACTTTATGGCTACCGTAGAGTGAAAGCATTTTTAAACAACTAATCCAATAAAAGTAGATCAGAGCTCCATTTCATTACTGAAGTTTCTGCTTTAGGTGATGAGTAAATAATGCCTACCAATAAATGCAGATGTTAATGAGTTTTCAACCAAATTCATTCCTAAACAAAACTGTCAAAATACTAAAATTCACTTCAGATGGCAGTTCACAAACACCTCCAAACCACAGTGTGTAAGGGTTATTTAAATGTTGTTTGGGCTTTTGTTTTGTTTAAGTTTCCCTTGTTGCTCCAGCATCAACATGTGGCTTGGGGGCTGCACAGCTGGAGAGAGAAAGCTCTGCAAAGAGTGGTGAAGGCTGCACAAGACTGTTGGAGTCAGCCTCCCCACCATCACAGACATCTACACCTCCAGATGCAGGAAGAGGGCCACCTGTAGACCTGTCACGATAAAAAATTTTGCTGGGCGATTAATTGTTTCAGAAATTATTGAGATAAATGATAATATTGTTTTAAATTTGACAATAATTAGTAATTATTGTCAAATTTAAGAAGAAATGTTGGTTAATTATTGTGTGTAGTACCTTTTTTTGACCATTTGAACTGAAGGATGGATAGTGAGGGAGCGAGCAGCATGTCTCTTTAAGAAAAATTGGAGGGTGGCCCCTTGACGTGACATAGATTGTCTCTCGTTCCTGTTTTTGGTTCTCAAAATGGCGGACGCTCGGTGTGGTTTGAGCTCTTTAGCATAGCATTTTTCACACAAATCTTTTAGTAAAAAAATCAGTAAACAAGTTCTCAGCTTCTTTTTACAGAGAAAAACAACTTTTTACATGAAGGCACGGGTTTCAACCGTGAATTTTGGAGCTCAAAAAGACAGAGTTTTTTTTCCCCAAGGTCGGCCTGTTGGCTTAGCTTCTCAGCTTAGCTGGTTTTAATGATCTAAAAATGCGATTTTGGATAGTTAAAACAGATTCTAAATAGAAAAAAGAAAGGGAGGGGTCAGTGAAGAGCACCGGAGATGAGCTTTTTGTCATCCAGTGTCTTCAGTAGAAAGAGAGACATGAAGAAATGATGAAGCTGATAAATGAAAATGAATTTGATAAATTTTCATTTATCGTGCGATTAATTGATTTATTGTTTATTGCGACAGTCCTAGTCACCTGCATCATGAAGGACCCCACTCACCCAGCACACACATTTTGCCCCGTTCCTCTCAGGCAGGAGATTATGGAGCATTAAGTACAGAACCACTAGACTGAGGAACAGCTTCTACCCTGAGGCTGTTAGACTCATAAATCCCTAACCACAAAAATCACCGTAAAGCCACTTTAATTGGAGATTTGTCTGTGCTGCTGATTATCCATGCTGCTGATCTCTTACCTTAAGCTGCTGTATTCATACCCATCTGCTCACAACAGACTCATGTTCAGGCTGCAATTTAATACATCGTACTATATTACTTTATTATTGTTTAGCGTATATCTTCAAGTGTTGTATACCGTTTCTTTTTATACTTTATATTTTTGCTATTTTTGGATGCAACTGGGACCTTGGGTACACAATTTCGTTCCACCTCATGTACCACATGTGATGCGAATGACAATAAAGAACCTTTAA